CGCGGTCCAGCCCACGGAGGGCGCCCGCGCCCCGAAGCTGTCGCCGGCGCGGGTCGTCCATTCATTCGCGGCGGGGGGCAGACCCCCGGCGGCGCGGCTCACCTTGCTCTTGACTTCCACCGCGCTGCAGTCGTAGAAGCGCAGGGTCTGAGACTTGTGGAAACTCCGGTTCATGGTTCCGGCCCCGATCGGTCCGGTCCTCGCCCTCGCTCCTCGCTCCGGGGGCTGCGGAAGAAGCAGCGCCGCCGCCGCCGCCGCGGCCCCCGGCTCGCCATGCTCCTGGCCTCGGCCGTGGTGGTCTGGGAATGGCTGAACGAGCACGGCCGCTGGCGACCCTACAGCCCGGCCGTGAGCCACCACATCGAGGCGGTGGTCCGCGCCGGGCCCCGCGCGGGGGGCAGCGTGGTGCTGGGCCAGGTGGACAGCCGTCTGGCGCCCTACATCATCGACCTGCAGTCCATGAACCAGTTCCGCCAGGACACGGGTGAGCCGGCCGCCCCCGCCCCGCCCGCGCCCACTCCCCTCGCGCCTGCAGGTCTCCCGCCTCTGGGGCCCTCCCCGGCCCACCCTGTCCGCCTTCCGCGCAGGGTGTCCCCAAGAGGTGGTCGTGAGCAAGCGTCTTATTCCCCTCGTGAGGTCCCCCCTGCAGCAAACGTCCATGCACGTACGGCAGCGTTCTGGGTTTGCAAACCCAGCGTCAGCCCAGCGCCTGAGACCCGCTACGCCCTGAAGCCCCCTTTTAAGAGCTGGGCAGCGCTAAGCGCCACCGTGCAGAAATTCCGGGGCCGCCCCAGCCCACACGCTCACCGCGCTAGGCTGCGGACCCCGCTTGGCCTCGGGCGCCCTCGGGCCGGCCAGATTTCCCCCGGGATGCTCTCCCACTGCTGAGTCCTGGGTGTGGAAACGGGGGAGGAAGACGGGATTCCCTGGAACCTCTTAGCGGCCGTCTAGCATGAAGGGCCGGGCCTCCGCGGGGGAAGAGCTGGCCGTGGGGGCGGATTCCAGGGCTGCCAGCACCCGGCTGTGCTCCGCAAGTGCCGAAGCAACAGGCCGGAGCAGATGGAGCGAGGAGGGGGAGGGACGGGACTCCGGAATGCCTGGCAGGGAAGCCGCTGCTCCCTTTGTCGCGGAGGAGGCGGATTCCAGAGGAGAAAGTGTCCCCAGGGCACCTCCTGAACCCGCGGCCAGGGAGGGACGCTCTGGCCTCCCCTACACGGAGCTCGCGTGTTTTCACGAGATTCCACTTGTCACTGTGGCCATCATCACCCCACTCCGCTGACTGGCCTTTCCAGGTCCCAGGAGGAAGAGAGGCTGCCAGAGGCGGTTGGGGTGGAAGAGGACTTGGGGGAAGGAGGCAGGCAGGGCAGCTTCTCTCTGCTTCAGCCAGTGTTCAGCCAGTGTGTCCAGGCTCCATGGACCCACTGGGAAAAGTCTCCCCTCTGTAGCTGCCTCTCCATGGGAGCGCGTTTGTTCTGGAATTCTGGCTGGATTGCCAGAATGTAACCCAGGAACCTAGAGAGACAGGTGTGTGGGGGTGGGTGGGCAGAGGGGTGGGAGGGGCAGGGTTGCTCCATGGAGGCCAGGAGAGTCCCAGAGGGTCAGAGAACAGCTGTCTGGGCAGCGGGACATCTTAGCCTCCTCCATAAGCCGCATCCTGTGTGCTAATCGTGATTGTCATGGGAAGGGGATTTTTGCACCATGAACCTCCTCTGTGGTTATAACTGCCAGCTACCTTTGGCCACGGACTTTGACGACCTTTTGAAAGAAGATTTCTGGGGAAAGGATTCCAGAAGTCTTAGCATCTTTGGTGGGAGTTGGGGGGGTGGTGGAGGGCTAAAACTCCAGAGGGAAGTGGGGGTGGAGCTCAGAGTGTCTGGGAGGAGGCGGGAATAAGGAGGAATGTGGGGAGATTGAGAAAGAGGATTAAGTGTGACCAGGGGGAGGGAGAGAATGTAATTGTGCAACTTGGGTAGAGGCTGTGGAAGTGAAGGCCGAGATGGGGGGTGGAGGGGAGCCCTGGTGGTGGGCCCATGGGGCCAGTGAAGGGAGGCCTGACAGGGAATTTCAGAACAAAGCAGGCAAGCAGGTGTCCACAATCTCTCTGCAGACTCCTCTGTGCAGGCCCCAGCTGCTGTCCCACCTCTGGGAAGAGGAAGCACCATCAGTGCTTGGGGGGTGTGGGCTAGGCAGGACCCTAGAAGACCGGAGCCCACAGAAGTGAGGTTCTAAGAAAGCTGGGTTGAGAGGCTGGGGTGACCGCCCCCCTTCCGGAGGAGAGGCTCTGCAGCCACTGGCAGTTCAGTCCAGGCTGAGGCTTTGCAGATTTTAGACCGGAAGCCAAGAATGGCCTGGGATCATATTAAAGACTTGCTCAGGGTGTGTTTCACATTCTTGTCGGTCTTTAAGGCCATTCGGACAGATTGGGTTGCATCCTCCGGTTTCCGTGGTCAGTGGGTCCACAGGGGTGCAGGCCAGCACCAGGGCCCTGGGTGCCCTCTAGGTTGATTTCCCAGGAATTCTGGGTCCACCAGGGAGCTCAAGGGTGCAGGACACTGTTTCTGGGTTTGGGCTCTCAGCCCCCTCCACTCCCTTCTGTGCCAGGACACACACACACACACACAGAGCTCCTCTCAATACAGCTCATTGATGTGCCCCTGACAGGGTGGCAACTTCAAATCAGCTCCCAGGCAACGTTGGCCAAGCACTGCAAAGTTTCATCAGCTCCACTGTCCCCAGTCCTCAGTTGGAAGCTGGGAAGCAGAACCTGCCACAGACAAAGAGCTGGAAGTCCCCTGCCTGGAGGGTCTCTTCCTTGCAGGGGCATTTCCTGACCTGGGGCTTTGTTGGTTAAAGTTGGCTGCCCTACCCGCTGCCAGGGCTCCTGACCTGGTCCAGCCTGTCTCCAGGGAGACCCGGGGTGGCTGCAGACACCTTCGCGCCTTCCCTCTTTGCCCTGGCCCTTCCCCGGCAGACCCCAGATCCCCAGATCCCAGATGCAGGAGTGTGAGTTATCAGCATTATGCATTATCAGCATTATATTTTCTCAGACATTCTGGACAAGAAGTGTGACAATTCACAGGGGCAGCAGAGATAGCAGCCTTGACCGCTTCCCCTACTCAAGTCCTCTTCATCCGTGGTCAGTGGTCATGTCCCTTGACTGGGTGTTGCCTTTTTCTGTCAGGACAGTGACTGTGGCTGTAACTTCCCACACGCCCAGTGGCTGGTCTTGTGGAGGCCCCAGCAGTGGGGTGGTGAAGACCCAGGCTGGAGCCAGAGGCGACCTACAGACTCCCATTCCAGATTCCCAGCTCCTGGTGTGACCGCAAACAACCCTGAGCTGCTCAGGCTCATTTGTCCTCTGTAAAGAGTAGCCCTAAGTTTCCTGGGATTCCTCTGGTTCCTTCCACCCATCATGTGGCGGCAGGTGGCAGACCCGAACTGCTCGGGGGAATGGCTGATGTGAACCAGAAGTGTGGGGAGCTTCTCTCCAGCTCAGAGTTCTCAGTGCAGCTCTTGCAAACTTGATGTCTTCAAAGTAACGATGTAATTAAGGAGAGTCAGACAGAGGGTCTGGCTTTTTGAGGTGCCTCCCATAAGCCCACCCCATGTCAGCATGGGTGGAGGAGGCAAGGGTCATGCTGACCACGGGGTAGGTAGGGTATGGGGGCTACATCCTGCACCCTCATCCTGCCAAGCACATTCAACTCACACATGATTGTGTTTAATCCTCGCAGCAATTTTAGGAAAGACCTATTGTTCCCACTTTATAGGAAAGGAAACAGTTGAACTCTTAAGTTGCCGAAGTGTAACATTTTCAATGGCACAATTGAGATGCCAAATCGGGGACCCCTCTTTACCCTTAGGGTGCACAGTTCTGGAGTACTGGTTTCCCACTTGCCTGTGGCTGACATACAGTCAGAGCACTGGCACAGATCTGTGCCCACATGGAACATTCTAGTGTGGTGAGGAGCGGTCTAGGCATCTAGCACAGCACTGTAGACATCAGTGACAAGCCCAGGAGACCTTGGGGCAGGCCTGGAAGGTGTTGGCTCCCATTTCCCAGCAGCTAAGACATCTTGGGTGCTCTGGGGTGCAGGTATTTGAGTGACAGAGAAAACTGATTTTCTTTCTCCTCCTTCCACCTTCATTTGTAAACATCTTTTATGCCTATTCCAGCAGAAGCCTTTTCCTTGCTAGCTGGCACCTAAGTGCCAAACGGATTTCCTGAGATACTCCAGGCCATGGTCTTGGTTATAGAAATGTCCAGGAGGCCATTCCAGAGAGTGATTTCTAAAAGTAGCCAGAGAATGAAATCCCACCACCTGAGGTCTGTCACTGCCTCTAAGCTCAAACTGGCCTCCGTCCCTTCTCCAGTCCACCGTCTTCCGTCTCAGAATGTTCTCCCAAATACTGGCTCTTTCTCTTCTCATCCCGCTGCCGGTCCACATTCCCACACCTCACCGCTGGCCCCTGCTCAAAGCCTCAGGCTCTTTGCCTCTGTACAGAGGCTGCCCTGGATGTCCTGTGTCACAGGTGTGTAGACCACATGGCCAGCCTCAGGACACTTGTCACTTGTGCATGCTCAGGCTCGGCTCCCAGAGATGCAGACTCTTGGGTCTGGAAAGTGAGCCCCATCCAGACCCCAGGGGAGCCCCGAGACTCATGGGACAGCCCTCAGCGGCTCACCGCTAAGTCCTGCCCGTTTCTGGTTCTGTCACTTGCCCCGGTCACAGTCTCCACCGGCTCTTCATTGCCAACAAATTAAACCCGCCACCTCCCGGCGCTCCGGACCGGCTGTGCTCTGGCTGTAACCACCTGCCCTGGTTTACCTGCCCCGTTGTCTTCAGTTTCCCTCCATTCCTGCCACCTTGTCCCTTTCATCCACATGCACACCTCAGAGATCTCCAAACTCCTTCCCCCTCACCCCTCCGCCCCCCCCACCCCCTCCCCAACTATGCACAAGGTCCCTTTACTGAAATTCCCTCCCGGCCATTCCTGCTCATTGAGCTTTTTGCCCCCCAGATTGCATACTCTTGTACCCCCAGCCAGCCCCATCTCATCCATTCAATTGCAGTTTATTAAGCCCTGAGATGTGCCAGGTGGGTGAGCAAACACCTGGATCGATCCCTGCTCTTGTGAGCCTGGGAGTGTGGGGAGGGAGGCAGATGCCATCCAATTAATCCCACAAATAAATATGTATAAACACTATAAAAATAGCACTGGGAATTTGACCTGGTCAGGGCAGCCCAGGGAGGTTTCCTTGAGGAAGTGAGCTGGAATCTGCAGGATGTGCAACAAAGAGGATGCCAGAGCATTCTGGGGGTGAGCCCAGCGCTGTGGAAAGGCCCAGAGTCAGAGAATCGTGGCACTGGGAAAAGACCAAGGTGGGCAGGACGCCTTCAGTGTGAGGGGGCCAGAGGGGCTTGGTGGGCGGAGGGGATCCTGGTCCTGACTCCGGGAAGACCTGGGGTGATCTCAGCACCTGGCAATGTGGTAGGATTTCTCCTGCCTCCTAGGCAGTCATTCATGTTGGTCTTGTTTTAGGCTGGAATATACCCCTGAATGCCTGGACGGTTGCCTTCCTGCAGCAGGTCGTGGGAGGTGGCTATATGGAAGGAATGATCAGATACCAAGGTGGCCTTCGGCCAATCAGAGTGCACACAGACCCTCATTTCTGCCTCACCCTGAATTAGATACTAGAATGCAAAGAGCCTCACATGGGCCTCACGGCTCCCACACATCAGGTGGGAGCAGAGCTGTACCCCAGACTTTGCGAGGGTGGGGCCTGGCTGGGAGAACATGTCAAGAAATGGAGAACACGTGCTATAGACCCAGTGACCCTGGCGAAGGCAGCAGATAAAAAGGCAAAAGAGGGTCTGGCAAAGAGGGTGGGGCCAGGGGACTCTCGGGGTGCAGGAGGATGCAGTGGAGGAAAGTACAGGCGCAGAGGAAGATGAGCCTGCAGAAGCAGGTGAGAAGCAGGACAGTTTCCAGAAATTGGGGGCAATTTTCAGACATTTCTGGGATTGATAAAAATACCTTTTAAGCGCAGTTGTGAGAATTGGTCAAATGCACTGTCCTGGAGAGTATATACGGCAGTGGCATTTAAGCTTCTAAACTTCTAGTTGTCGTCATAGGCATTTCGTGGGATGTCAGGGTTAAAGTGCCGGATCAGAAGTAAAGGTTGTGCGTGGAGGTGTAAGGTTGTGCGTGGAGGTATTCATATAAGCTCTCCCCTTCGGTCCCTCCCCTCCCAAACTTGCCTCCCCCCCACTTCTCCATTTTGCTTAGACACAAAATAGAAAACCAATCAAATAACAGTTGTCACTTTTTATGGAGCTCTGCCACGGGACAGGTGTTGTATAGTGCTTTATGGTCACCCTTTCCTTAATCCTCAAATCCAGCCTTTGAAGCAGCAGATGAGGAAACTGAGGCTCAGTCACCCCACTGGAAGGGACCAAACTCCAGGCTGGGCTCTTTGTCCCCAGCAAGCCAGCTACTTAGGAAGGAAACAGGCAAACCAAGGCTGGGTGGCCCCCACTTCTTCCTCCTCTGCCCCCCCCCCAGCTACCTCCCTGTCCCCCGGCAGAGATCCTGGCCTGAATAGGGGATTGTTCTCCTCCTCCTGCCTCTGAATGTTGATGTTTTGGGTCATTAAGGGGCTTGGAGCTGGGGTGGGGGTGGGTTATGACCCTGGCAAGGGCCTGAATAGCCATTGTTCCTTTTCTTCCCCCTTGAATGGGATTCTGTCCCCAGCCTTGGTGTCTCCCTCTGAGTTAGGGGCGTGGGGGGGGGGGTCCGCAGGCCCGCGCACAGAGCCTTTCCCACCACTTTGATGGATGGGGCTTAAACTGTCCGATGAGATTCCAGCATCCGCTGTCCTTCTCCCCACCCAGCTCTGCATCAGGATCTTCAGCGCCACAGTTGACACAGTTGAAATGAGCTCTGCTTGGGCCTGGGGTCTGCTTTCAGGTTTGGGGTGGTAGGGAGTGGGGGGGTGTGTGGGAGGGGTGTATTTCCAAGCACCTGCTCTGGCAGAGTTTTCTGTGCTTCATGCAAACAACAGGGCACTTGAGAAATCCAGGGTCTGACGGACCAACGGTGCATGTTGAGTGAATAAGTGAGCCACGTGTTCATACAGAACTGGGGTGCAGGCCAGAGGTGTGGGAAGTGAGAGGATTCACCAAAGACCAGGTGGGGAGCAAAACAGGCCGATGGACTGAAACACTACTGACAGCAGGTCAGGAGAGATCTGCAGCGCCATGGGGGTCAGCTCCCTGGCGGGGGGTCAGCTCCCTGGCTGGGGGTCAGCTCCCTGGCCGGGGGTCAGCTCCCTGGCCGGGGGGGTCAGCTCCCTGTCCGGGGATCCAACAGGTGCTGCAGTGGCCACACTAGCTCCACAGTGCTGCCCTTGAACGCGTGCTGTGCCACCAGGGAGGGCCCTGTGAGCCACAAGCCCTGAGCAGGAGTTGTTACCCTGTTTCTCAGGGCAGAAAATGAGGCCGAGGGGTTCCCTATCCGCTAATAAGTGGTGATGACCTTGGCTGCAGGCCAAGGTCCGGGACTCCAAAGCAGGAGGCTCCTTTAGCTCCCTGGCAGTGGCCTTGCCACGCTCACTGGCACTGAGTCCTCTGCCCGCCCAGGGCTGACTGCCGCGGGCAGCCCTGTCTGGCGCACCCGGTAGGCCAGTAGGGCTCCTTTCCTGTTTGCTATTCCGGTAGCACAGCCGCTTGCTAGCCCTGACCCAGCTCCGCTCTGTCTGGCCACAGGGACGCTCCGCCCCGTGCGCCGCAGCTACTACGACCCGGCCTCGGCTCCCGGGAAGGGCGTGGTGTGGGAGTGGGAGAACGACAACGGCGCCTGGACGCCCTACGACATGGAAGTGGGCATCACCATCCAGCACGCCTATGAGAAGCAGCACCCCTGGATCGACCTGACGTCGGTGGGCTTCAGCTACGTCATCGACTTCAGCACCATGGGGCAGATCAACCGGCAGACCCAGCGCCAACGCCGCGTCCGCCGGCGCCTGGACCTCGTCTACCCCATGGTCACCGGCACCCTGCCCAAGGCCCAGTCCTGGCCCGCCAGCCCGGGCTCGGCCGCCTCGGCCCCCGCGCCGCCCTGCTCCTGCCCACAGTGCGTCCTGGTGATGAGCGTGAAGGCGGCGGTGGGCTTCAGCTACGTCATCGACTTCAGCACCATGGGGCAGATCAACCGGCAGACCCAGCGCCAACGCCGCGTCCGCCGGCGCCTGGACCTC